CAAATTATCTGGTAACTTCCAAATAGCAATTTTTTATATTACTTCTCTTTTATAGACTGACAGATTGAATACTGTTTAATAATTATAGTATTCTAATATCCTAATATTTTAGATTACAAGATGCTAAGAGTATAGATCTAGTTTAGCTTGCAGTCTATAATACTCCCAATTAATTTTGGTATTCTTTGGTTTTTTTAGTATCCAAGCTCTATTTGTACAATATACTACCAGTCCAGTAAATTCAGCCATTTCAAATTATTACTATATATCCTGAGTTTTAGCTTATTTACTTTGTCATCATAAAGTTTTTCCTTAATAGGCCAAGTGGCTTGAGGCCAGAAGTGTTTCTGATTCTAGTTGGGCCAATCCTTTTCCACAGATTATTCTTATGTTCTCTACTTTTCTCACTACTCTAGTTATGTTACCATCATATCACACTCCTAAGCAAGTATCTCACAAGTTGGATATAGGAATGTCAATGCTGCCTCAGTCATCTCTAATTGAAAACTAATATGCATAATTTTTGTATAACAGAACCTTCTATAACTTGATATGCTACTACTTCACGATTGGACCTTCTTCTGAAAATTTCTTTTTCTAGTTTTGTACTTATACTTGGACTTAATCACAAGAGAACCCCGAATAATACTAATAGAGGTTACATTAGCTCTAATATAAACTTTTTACAAATTTTATCCAAAATCTGCAACTTTGATTGGTTGAACCTTATTTTAACCAATCAAAGTTGCAGAAAAGTGAACAATGCAGCAATGTAACCTCTACTTACATTGTTCGGGGTTCTATAACAGGGCTCTGTATTCGATTATAATCTTCTTTTGGGTTACAGAAATGAAAAATCCTAAAATTTTGCCTTTAGTCTGACTTGAACTATTGATCTAATCTGTGGAAGTTTGGCAGCTTAACTGCTAAACTATAGGGCCCAAACCCCATCTAAAGAGCTATATAATGCAGATTATATAAGATTTATATATAAATTATTAGGTAGAAAATATTAATTTAGCAAAGAGGTGTAATTTGACAAATTTTGTTATCTCATTATCTAATAATCAGAATCGAATAATTTTTATACTATTTGATTCATCTTAATGAGACAAATCAAATGGTATCAAGCTTGCCTGGTTCTGATCACTGAGTCACAAGATATTTTCGATTCTTTATCATGTTTATACTTCATCAAATAAACCTTAAGGATCATTTTTGTGCAATATATAATTGATGATATTTTGTAATCCAGTGATCAGAATTGGATAAACTTTATATTATTCAATTCATCTCATCAAGATAAATTAAATGATATAAAAATTATTCAATTCTGACTACTGGATTACACAAAATACTATCAATTTGCCAAATTACCCTACCTCTCTAAAATTTAAGCTTTTTAATACAATTTATAATCTATTTAATGTCACTTTAAAACAAGATGTTATATTACTAATTTTTTTATAAAATAATTCTAAATCATATATAAAGTTTAATACAAAAAATAAAAAAATTTTTAATATTAAAATAAAAAAGTTTTTATATTAATTATCTTAACTTCGCCAAATTACCCCTTTCTACTTTATATAAATTCTTTAATTAGTAAATGTAGAGATATTAAATTTAAAACTTTTTTCTTATTAAATAAATCACTCTTGGGCTTATAATTAAAGTTGTAGAGCTCATCAAAACAAATCTAATAATGATAAAAATATCAAAATTAATATGGTAGTTCTTAAGAAATCTTTCACTGATATATAAAATTTCTTTAAAAAAAATTAATTTTTTTTAAAGAAATTTTATATGCTAACAAAAAGTTTTTTGAAGTTTTTTTTTAGGCTAATTTTAACATTTTTACCATCATTAGATGTGTTTTGATAAGCTCTACAACTTTCATTATAAGCCTAAGAGTGATTTACTTAGTAAAAAAAAAAGGTTTAGATATAATATCTCTATATAATAAAATTTACTTATAAAATTTGCAGATCCTCTTCAGATAACAGATAGATTGTCTATTAATAATATAAATTAACTTTAAGATTAGATCATTTTAAATGAGTATTAGGCTTGGGTTTGTTATAGTTTATAATATTTTTTATTAAAATTTTTAATTATTAGGATAGGATTATAATCTGTTAAGATTTTACTTATTAAAATTTTAATTTAACCTTAATTTAATATAAGAGTTGCAACTAAAACAATTATATAAGATATACAATATTCTGAAGTTATATATATATAATTTTTAATTCTTAATACAAGTTAAAATGCATTCTAAGTTTTTTTATATCAAATAATTTTATATATAGATTTCTATAACTATATAAATACTGTAGTTTTTTGTCTAATTAGTAGGTTTATATATCTGCAGACAAGTTCTCATAGATTTTAGAATAGCCTTTTAACTTCTTTATAATCTGGTCATTTTTTTGTATGTTTGTTTTTTTACTTACCCCTTTCTTGTTTCACACTTACCCTTTGTTTTTTTTTTATACTTTTCTATAAGAAAGTGTTATCAGATTGATAGCACTCTATTGTAAAGTAGTAATTCTAACAAGAGTAGTAAAACCATCCATTGATGCTAAAATTCAAATCCTCAGAAAGTTAAAAAGCTTAGAGAAGAAAAATATTTACTTAGGCGGGTCACTTCTGGGTCATACTCTAAATAAGACAAATCAAGAGATTCTTTATTTGTATAGATATAAGCAGTTTTAGTATAGATAATGTAGATTTAGCTGAGTTATCTTGTTGTAAATTTGTTGCCAATTAAAAAAATAAAGAAAGGATTGCTGAAGTAAAAAAACAAAAAAACAAACTATAATTATCTAATAAATTTAACCTTTATTTTAATTTATAACTACTTTAAATATTCATAGTAATAAAAAATTTTTTAATATGAATTAATATACTATAAAATACAGTATAAACATTAAATACAGTTATAAACATTTTATTTAAAAACTTGTTATATTTGCTATAGCTTTTAAAGTTTATTACTTTTCGCATGATTGTTTTCTATATAGTTATTAAATAACGCTCATGTGGTGTTAAACACCATTGGTATGTTTCAGTATTCTTGATATACATACAAATTGATTGATAAATTTGGTTGGTTGATCAACTGTGACATGTGTGACATACAAGATTTTTAAAAGCAGAATGATTTATTAGTGATCCAACTTAAGTTTTTGACGTTAGATAGATTAGTTATGTCTCACACGGAGAGAATGACTCGTTCGTTGTTCGTATCTAGACTTTCTCGCCGGACGACGTAAGATTTATTGTATTACTGTTTATTTAGTGACGAGTAGTTTTTTCTAACCGTTGATCGATCACAAGTGTTGAAGACCTTGAACCAATCTTTAAAGAGTTTGGCCGACTTAAAGACGGTAACTAAACTTTAAAGATTAATTTAAAGTTTGTTCAATATTTATAATTCTTTGGTACAACTTTTTTTAGTATACATACCGAAAGATTTTTATACAAGAGAGCCAAGAGGGTTTGCGTATATAGAGTATCCTTAAAGACTTTTCTTCTCAAGCAAGATCAAAGTGTTACGTCTGCCGGAGGAATTCAAGTTTTATCACCAAAGAATTTGTTTTTTTTTTTTTTTCAAGACTTTTCCATCGGTCCTTGACAAGAAATCGCGGTTTTTTTCTTCCCTTTTAACAAGATACTACGATGAACGCGACTGCGAAGAAGCATATAGACGTGCAGCTACTGTCTTTCTACATGGTCGAGAATTAACTGTGGAATTTGCCCGTGGATCCCGAAAGAGTTGGTGTTTCCCGTTAAATATTGGTTGTTTTTGAAAAGTCTATATTTTTTTTATAACTCAAACATTTCAGCTCCAAGAGAAATGAGAGGCAAAGACAGTAATAGGTAATTCGATATAAAATTTTCATAAGGAGAATAACAATTGATTGATTAATGTCATTTTTATAGGTATTCTCCACCAAGGCGAAGTCGATACACTCCTGAAAACTCTTATAGACCGAGGTACAAACTTCAAGATAAATTAATAACATCAGTTTGACAAAAAAATTCAATACAGTGGATTTATATTTTATCAGACGATACAGTCGTAGTCCTAGCCGACATCGCAGCAGATCTAGATCGGATTATAGGAGATATGATTATGAAGAGGATAGAAGACGTACGAGTCGATATCGTTCTCGCTCAAGGACATTGTCTCGCACACCGCCAGAACGCCGCAAAAGGTCAGGACAAGTAAATGGTCATCCTAAATCTCGATCCAGATCTCCTCGTGGTGTTCAAGCACCTGTAGAGGAAAAAGAGACAGCTACGTAGTTCAATTTTATTTCTCACACATGATCATGAATTTCAGGCATAATGATAGCTATTATTATTGAAACGCGGATCGGTTCATTAAGCTGGTAACGTGAATATTATGCAAAGTTGTTCGGGAAGGTCATAATAGACTAACAATTATTTTCTGATGGATCAATTCTCCTCTGGTACAGTTGCAATTATGTGTAAATTCGATTATGTTGGTGACTTGCATTCATATAAAAAAAAAAAAAAAAAAAAATACCTTTTTTTTAGTTAGGTTTTAAAGTAACATGATATTTTTTCTTTGCTGTTCTTGCTTTATTGAAATTAACAAATGTTTTACTTTCGTGAAATTGAATGTTAAGTTTATTATGATATTGTGAAATGTGTATTTGAAGATTTTTTTACTTGTAATTATAATTGATTAAATGCCAAATAATTGCAACTTTGCTGTCTAATAATTATTCTGTATGCAATCGATTAGATCAAGTTACTTACTATACGCGTACTACGTGATTAGTAACGTCTGCGTTTTTCGATTTATGCGACTAGAACAATCAACATTGCTGAGGGAAAATCCGATTGTCGAATATTTCACTTTGACAAGATATTAGCCTCAATCCTATGATTGACTAGATCAAAGGGTGCGAATGAGAGTAAAATGACAAAATCGAACCATATCCGGACTTTTAGATCAAGACTATCTATTTAAATCCGTTATTTTGAATATTTCTAGAACTTAAACTGCCGTATACAAGTTCTTCCACAATAGAGACCTTTACCCGGCTACAAATTGCAAAATCTATAACCAAATGATGTCTTTCCAAATATAGTATAACCTTGATATAAAGAATCTATGAAGCTGGAAGTTTTTCTTCGTTATATCTATATTTCGGTACATCAAGGTTCCCTCGATATAACGAATTTATATAAAACATTCGTTTGCAATAATTTCCCTCAATATAATGAATTTATATATAATTTTATAAAACATTCGGTTTGCAATAATTTCCCTCGATATAGCATATTTTGTTATCTATATCTGTATATATAGTATACGTATACCGGGTGTTTGATAAGTCCCTGAACAGGACCTTTTTTATATCTCCGATAGTATTAAATAAAAAAGATTATATCGATCACTAATTATTACGTTTTTTTATATAGTATGGTGATTTATTTAGTGATTAAAAAAAGATCTTTTTTATTTAATACTATCGGTGATATAAAAAAGGTACTGTCCAGGGACTTATCAAACACCCGGTATATAATTTATTGTCACGGGGGAGCTTTTTTTTTTTTTAGCTTGGAATTGTTAATAAGAATATATGTGGGTTTTAGGGGTTTACTAATTTTCCCTCTTATTAGACGAAGAAAAATCCTGCTTTTCGATCAAATAATAGAAGTATTGTTTGAAACAATTCAAAGGTCTAATAGAATACATGCTATGTTAGAACACGAACTTCAAAAACTTGAAAATTTTATGTTACACCTGATCTTATAATTTGATTGGTAGACGAAGAGTGGCGTAGTCTACTTTGTCCAATCAGAGACGGAATTTACAGTGTCCAATCAGAACTGGGGGAGAAATTAGGGATCCGAATTGAGACCCCAAAGTCGGCATAGGCCAAAATCGTGACATTTATTATAAGGTAACGCTACTACTGTCGTATTCCTCTATAATCACTCAGTTTGTTCTATGCAAAAAATGTGATTATAAAAATTCTATTATGATGTGCTTATATAAAAGGATTTTTTATAAGATTATTAATGAATTTTTTCATATAGGTGATTATAGTTGAGTACGACTGTATATCAATATTTAACAACTAAAAAAATTAAAACTTTCTAATATATCATATAAATCATCATAACAAACATAAATTTTATCTTAAAATATTTTTGGCTGGTAACGAATTATTATTTTCAACTTTATATATATATATATACTGTATTTTCTTTATAAACTTAAAATTTTCTTATTCAAATACATTTGGTGTTTGGTTTAGTTGTATTTATAATTATCTCTTACATCTTTTAAAAAAATTCTGGTAATAAAAGAATTGTCCATTTAGTAGAAATTTTATTTTATTTTGTCTTAAAAACCAATTTTCTCGCAGAACATTTATGGATAAGTGTTTGCAGAAAGATATAATAAATCTATAGTTATGTTGCAAATCTGTAAGTTTGAATAATCACATCAAAATAAAATAATACCACACATGGCTATTATTAGTCCAACTTTTTCAGCCAATATATATTAAAGATTTAAAGAGATGTATCGAATCTTTATGAAGAAGCGTACTGTTAAGTATATATAAAAATAAAAATAAAGATAAATTTAGTTGATCACAATAATAAATAAGAGATACGCCAGAATAAGAAATAGACGAGCCTTTTTTACGAAATCTTTTGCGGTTTTGACGAATTTTTGTTTGTTTGTATTATAAACCTCTGCAATAGAAGCTACCAGAGCATCGTCAGGATTTGGGTTTTCGAGAAGATCTGCGATGGCTTTGAGAACTTTTAAAGAGAAGAAGCTTAAAAATAGTATTCACTGCACAAATACAGAATAACAAAGAATATAAAAACCTTGAGAGATTTTGGTAGCAGGTTTCCACACATCAGTCTTCAACAAATTCACACAAATTGACCCATCATCATCAATATTTGGATGATATACTCTAGTGATGAACTTGACCTAAAAAAATTTAACATTAGAACTCATTAACGAGATTAAAAAGCTACAAAAGCAAAAAAGATAGCACTTAGACAACACATACTGATGGTGGTTTAAATGGATAATCCTGAGAAAATTCAATCTTGAGCTTGAAGATGCCCCCTTTGTAGGGACTGTTAGCCTATATGAGCAATAAGGATTTTATTATCCATTAAAGGTTAAGTTTTTAGAACTTGTTTGTAAAGAAGAGAATTGCTTACAGGACCCAAAATTGTGCCTAGTTGTAAAGAAAAATGAAAAATTTAAAGATGCAAAACTAGCATAACTGACAGTAAAGAAAAAAAAAAAAGGGTAGATTCACACCTGTCCAATTGAATATATCTTCTTCGGTAGGGCCAGCACTAATCCCAGCTGGAGGATCTCTGTTAAGTTCTGCTAGTTCCTAAAGTAAACAAAGGTTGGAAAATTTTAGCACTAAGACAACAACTTACACTTGTAGGATCAACACCTACTTTCTGAATACGTTTGAGAGCCATTGCAAAAGTGTAACTATCAAGGTGAAATCAAAGATATGTATAGGATTTTATGTCGCAGTGCCTGATGTCTTCCTTAATTTCCTTAACCAACTAAAAATTAGTATCACGTAATAAACATTCGCATAGCGATAGCAAGACGGAAATTCATTTTAATTGGCTGTAATCAGAATGATCGACAATGATCGACATTTTATTCTGATTGGTCAATTTAGTCCCGTGATCTGCATTACGATTATTTTACGAAATGACAAAATTGGGTTGTAATCAGGGCTTAAAATACTATAGTAATTTGCCGGCCTGCAGCCTATTGTTTGAAGTGTTTTTCTTGATTTACCAA